CCGTGTACATAGATATGAATTATCCGCTTCTGAGGACACCTGAGTTTAGGTTAAAAAGAGCAAGGCCGGCTTCGCCGACCGCAGATGGTGGACAGCGTTAAGGTTGGAATGAAGTCCCCTAATAATGCAAAAATTCACGGAAAACGTGGCAGGGGTTGCCTTGGTTTTGTTGCTCCGCTTACTCCGAGCAGTTTTAGTCGCGAGTGGACTTGCGCCCCCCCCCCCCAGAAAACGCAGGGCAGCCTGAGCACCCACGCTCAGGAAGATTAGAGTAACTTGGTCGTGAATGCTCAGCGAGCGATTCTCCGCCGTTTTTCAATATATCCAGCTACCATGTTAAGGGTAACCCCTGCCCGGGTTGGGCCACCAGCCACCTGTACTTACCAAGTGAAACGCAGAGTTAAATCTCTACTTCAAGTTTTAATTAAGTTACAACAAAATATTATGAAAATAAGGCAAAAACTTCCATAGTTCATTTTCAGAGTGCTTTGATCATAGGTACGCTTTAAACTTCCAACTTGAAGTTGACCAACTAATCCAAGTTTTCCACATTGACTAATGAGACGAGTTTGATTTGAATTTCTCAGAGAGACGGAAAGTACACTTTTATATTAAACACCGATTAAATTAAACTCATTTGAGGGATTTTCCTTATATTGTCAGGGTTTGTGCACCTTGCTGCATTATTTAAATTATCGAAATATATAATGTTCCGATAGTCACGGTGAGCATATGCATATAAAATCTATACATATAATAAATCTGTAGAAAAACCATGTCTGTAATTATTCTTATGTATTCGCGAAAAAACAAGAACAACTAAAGGGTACTGTATCTAAATTAGTGGTTTTTAGAGTTTTTGTCTGACTGCCTTTCTGTCTGTCTGTACTCTCTGTGTATTAACGATTCACGCAAAAACTACTGGACCAATTTCCAATTTGAAATGTTGTATGTAGGTAATTAGTAACCTGGGGCAGCTTATAGGCAAATTTTTATCCGATTACGAAACTTGAAAAAGAAGGATATTTTTTATATTAATTCTTTAATTGAAAAAGAAGGATATTTTTTATATAATAATTCTGTTAGTTACATGTATATGCAGGATGACTGTTGTTTTTTTTTTTCAAAAAATATCATATTTATAAATACAGTTTTAAATTAGTTTTAACCTTTGTTTAAGAATTAGAAACTATGTCAACAATCTATATTTTTAATTAAATTTATATGTTAAAATAACGGAATCTAAAAATATTTAAAAATCCTATTTTTTTTAGATTTTTCGTTATTTATTTTTAAAAGTATAATAATTTAAATAGATAATAATGATGTTTATCAAACATATGAAAATCTATATGGTTTTTAGTTCAATTACTAATGAAAACGTAAACTGAGTTAAGCTGATCTGCCTGCAGTTATTACAAAATTCTTATTGTACTAACAGTTTGATCAATGACATTTTTATATAATTAATTCGTGACCAAATCGTAGACTGATCATATCTTAAAGTAGTCAATAATTTGTGAAATACTAGTAGTCATTTCACACTGTATGTTGACCATATCATAACATAGCTGGTCTGAATCAATGAATAGAGATCGTTTGACGATATTAAACTGAAGTAACTAACCAACTTTGCTATTTCATGATATTATGGTCATACTGTTAAATAGTTTTTCACTACTAGCGGCGCTGATAAGGTATATTTTACACAAACAGAGTTTTCAGCAGAATCAACGCTACCTTATGCCTTATTTATGGGTTTTTTTTTACCGTCAGGAAAAAGTAGTATGAAACGGGTGAACGGAATAGAATGACATTTTACAATGTTTTTTATTTTACATTAAAAAATTATGAAATTGATTTATGAATAAATACTACTAATTGGAAATAAGCTTTAGGTAATGATTTTAAACTAAATAAATAAATTAGTTGAAAACTATCGAAACTAAAATAATGCGTACCGAATTAGTAGTATTTATTGATAGATCAATTTCATAATAAGTTGTAAAATATCATCGCCATAGGCTTCTATTTTGTTCACCTGTTACATCGCGAAAAAACTCGCGATACCATCCATACCAACTGGATGACTGGCAGTCCACCATTGTGCGATTTAAAAGAAGTTTTCTTCATCACAGAAATTTCTTGTGTAATCGACTACCAACAGAGATATTTCCGGACCAGTACGACTTAGGAACCTTCAAGAAAAGAGCCTATTCCTTTTTAAAAGGTTGGCAACGCGTATGCAATTCCCCTGGTTCTGCAGTTGTTCATGGGTGACGGTAATCACTAACCATTAGGTAAGCCATATGCTCATTTGCCCCTCTGCTAAAAAAATCTACTTACTGCTCAATAAACTAATGATAAATCACTGATAAAATTAAAAAATAGAGGCTACTGAATACTTATTCGTTATAATTAAAACTTTAAATACCCAGACCGGTGACCATTAACGGGGATGATTTACTGCAATTACCACGTTTGGTGAAATAACTAACGATACTGTTATATTTAATACTGTGTGTAGAAAACTGTGATTGGGAGAGAAGCTCTCTAGTAAATATATTGGGTGGTTAGAGGCATAGCTTTATTTCACCAACTTCATTTGTTATTCAGTTATTTGATGTAAATATTTGAAAATTAATTGCAATGTAAGATTTTTAACTCTATTTCATGGAATAGTTCGTGGTATCATTGGATATTTAATTACTACGTAGATATGGTCAACAATCGCACAAAAGCTTTGTTTCAGTTTTTATTAATCTTATTTAAACCATTACGCGAGACGTGTAGCAGGCCGTGAGATTTCACCATAGCACGGGAGCAAAACGTGTACGATTCCCTCGATTCACAATAAATCTGTTATAGGAAAGTTTACATGCTTATCACGTGTTCGGTGAAGTGGTGAACAATAACTTCGTGAGGAAACCTATATTGTCTGAGTAGTTAAAATGTATTTTAATTGCAATTCGAAGTTTGTTGCAATTTGAATTAACCACATTCGTAAGGAAAACATGGCAAGAAAACCTGCAAATCTGCTTCAACAGTTGATATCATTCCGTTTTGTGGTTAGTGCAGCAAAAACTTTTTTGACCAAATCTTGTCTGCGGCCTGCGCCCAGTAATGACGACGACGAGATGAAGGCTGCTATTTTATTACTTATAATGCGGTAGTTTTGCGTAGAACTCATCATCATCATGACAGCTTATCAAAAGTCCACATAGGGCTCCCCCCATAAATTGCCGAATTGGCTGGATATTTATACTATGACGATATTAGGTGGCGTATTCGCTTTCGCCACTATAACATGGCGCACATTTACTACTTCCGTTCATGAGTGTGGTTAATCCCACTCTTTCACTGTGAATAGATCTTATTTAAAATAAAACTAATTTAAGGATTTTATGTCGTTTAATTTTTTAAGCTATTGCATAGCTTCTATCGCGGGCCTTGAGCGCGGGGACCGAATCCAGAAATTCCGTAACGAAAAAAAACCTCACGCTCCCCACTCTGACGGGCACGGAGGTGTGGCGTTGAAAGCCGTGCATCGTCTAACGTCGTTTCAGTTCGGCAGACTTCGGCACTCGGCAGACTTCGGCACGGTGTTTGTGTGCGTGCGACTAGACGTATGCGTGTACACTAGCTGCTAACTCAATGATAAAAATTCCTGAATAACCTACACGTATTGTAAGATATTAAAAATATTTTAAACAATATTAACTTCTCATTTATTCAATAAGAGAAAATAATTGTTTTCTTTTCGGTCACCACGCTCAAAAAATGTAACTTGATTTAATATCAAAGACTTAACTGCATAAATAAATAATTATAATTGCATAAGTTGATAAAAAATGCTATGCAATAGCTTTACCGCGGCAGTCACCGAGTGCCACACGTATTTTTATTAATTATGGGACCCCAAGCAGATGGTAGCCTCCCAAAGGATGAAAATCGCCCTCAGTAGAAATTGCAGTTTTTTGGCGAGGATTTATGGTCTAACGGATCTAATATAATGGCTGGGACAATACTGAAATTATTGACATTCTTCAAATTTCTAGGAGCATCGGTGCTTCTCATCAGCGATATGTTCTTTTGCGCGGGTTTTATGTATATTTTATTCAAAGATGTGTAAAAAAGCCACGTAAAACATGTAAAATTAAACGGTTTAAATTCTTAAAATTAAAGAAAATCTGAACGACAGGGTAAGAAATTGTGTAATAAGAGAAGAGTGTGGTTTGCAAGATGATGTTATGACCAGGATTAAGAAAGGAATGCTTCGGTAGTTTGGTCATGTGGAAAGAATGAATGAGGAAAGAGTGACAAAGTAAATTTATGTTGCAGAAGTGAATGGCAGAATCGGAAAGGGACGTCCTAGGCGAAAATGTATCGACCAAATTGGCGATTTATTGAAAACGGGCCAAATTAGGAGTACCCTTAACCGACGAGCATGTATGCGTAGGTTTATGGATGTGAAGGGGGCGAGAGAGGTGTGTCAGGATCGTGCCAAATGGAAGTCTGTAGTCTCTGCCTACCCCTCTGGGTGACAGGCGTGAGTGTTTATGTTTACGTTTATGTAAAGAAAATCTATTCGCAGTGAAAGAGTGGGAAGTACCACACTCATGAACGGGAGTAGAAAAATGTTCGTTTAATTTTATTCCATGTGTAATAGGGTGGAGTGAGAATGTAAGAAATTTTTTTTTTGTTTTTTTTTTGATTGCATAGCGATAAAAATTTGCCTTTCATTGAGTAAATCCTACATACAAAATATTATTTACTTATCATGATGTCTTGAGGTGCCCCAACACAATTGAAAATTTGAAAAAAGCGATGAATGTCGTAGCACACCAGGCGGGAACAAAGTTCCTTACGCTACTCTATATATACCTATGTGTTAGTGTAGTAGACACCATCAACAGAGTAACAGCTTAGGAATCGGTTAAATAAAGTCTGGTTAAATATAAAAAATACATATATTAAAAAAATAAGGTAAAACTAAGTAATTATGATAGATTTGGATATCGTTCAGAAACACAGTAATTAAATATTAAATTGTTTTTTGTATCAAAATTTGGCATTTGCTGACGTGATAATAATCGTGCCCTTATGAAACCGTCTCGTTTATTTTCTCCACAAACTGCACTTGAAGCTTCAGTCACCAATTTTATGCAGCGCTCTACGGCTTGGGTGTGGCATGGGAAATCTTTTATACTCTGACATGTTCTCAAACCGCATTTGACAATCTCTTTCAAGAATTCATCAGATAAATTGTAAGTCAGAGGTGGCTCAGTTATTTTACAGTCTTGCCACTTAATGAGGTCGGTATAATCTTCAGCATCGAAATTTAAAGGAGGCACTTTGAACGTTCGAAGTCCTTGATCATTCTCTGCTCTAGCTTTCAAAATTTGTTGACATGCTAGTTCTCGAATGATTTCTCTGTCATCTCCAAGCATAGCAATAAGAATATTTTCTGGGTGCCCGAAATATCCATTTCGTATGAGTACCTTATCAATGACTATCTTCAAATCCGCGCTCAAATAGCGAGTCAGGCTAATCGTTTGCCACAGGTGCTTAGCTCCATTTATGCATGATGGATTACACTTTATAGTGAACCACATCGGACCATAAACTTTCATCACGTATGTGGCTAATATCATTAAGTTTTCTAGAGGGTCTGTTTTAGTAGCATATAATCTTAGAATTCGATTTGCTGTTGTAAGCCATCTAGAATGGCTAAGGGGTCCAGGTTCGATATTAGCCAAATCGGAAGTAAAGACGCCAGTGCTGATAGCGTTCATCACATCATAAAGATATTTTTGGTCGGTGCTCAAATCATTTCTAGGAATTTCAGGTAATGTTGAAGGAATGACGGTAAATTCGACAATTGGCATTGTTTCACATTTTTGTAATTCAGAGCCGATAGGACCTGAAAAGCATTTAGGCCCTGTGGTTTTTCCATCCAAATGTAATAACAGATGTCGCAGTGGTAACTCATTTGAATGCAATTGGCAGATAAACCACTGTAATGGTTTCTTAAGTTCTTCTTCCATCAAACGAACAACACCACCTTTGGAACCTGTGTTCACGACAGTTCCATCGCAACCAACAACAGCTATTTTATTCAGATCCACCGATTTCATTTTCAGGTGACGTATAATTGTACTTTGAATACCTTTAGCGGTTCCCAACTCACACGTAACATGCCCGAAATAATCACTTCCTGGCTCCGATAAAATCACATAATGGTCTTCTGTTACTCTTTTTCTGTAAAATTTGCCTTCCTTCTTAATACTTACTAAACTCTTATCCTTTCTGCCATCAAAATAAATACCGCGTATGATTTTATTACGATCTGCGTCTTGTAAAGATGATCTGACTTTAGTTCTTTCACGACGCAACTTAGAACGATCAATGACACCGCTTGGATCCTTCGTTGAAATAATGCCAACATCTTTTAACACAGAAGAAGCTATAATAGCAGCGGCTCTGTCGGAGACTCCAGTACGATCGCAAGCGAGGGCTAATGATGATAAATTTAACTTCTTTTTTTTGGTGGTGGTGGGGTTTTTGGTAGTCTCGTTACGTGTTTTGGCGATTGATAAGGACTAGAAGCTACGCTATTGCTTGAACTGGTGCTTTCGATCGTCAAGTCATCATCATCAGGCAACGAACGAGAACAACACGGTTTGTTGGGATCAAATATCTCTTTGTTACGCAATAAACTTTTTTCTTGTCTTTCTAGTTTTCTCTTATTTTTTTACAGTTGTAACCAAATCTACACCACCTATCATCATTTTTCTTGTTGTCCTTTGGTCGAGTAAAAATTTTATTTCTTCCTTGGGAACACGACTGTCTTTTGAACAAGTGCAATCTGAAATAAGTTTGCATTTGCAACTGCAAACATCAAATAATCTATGAGACTCAGTTATGAATGTATTTATCTTCTCTTGATATTTTTTGTTTAATTGACGGCCTCGATAAGGTTTCATTAAGCTTCTATATTTGTCATGGTAGGATCGAATAAGTTGTAATACTCTCTTAAGACTGACTGTTGGCAGCGACGCTTTTCGCCAAATTTCTAAAACTTCCTGAGCCAATCTTTCGGATATGTCATGAATTGTCGGCTCTTTTGTTTTTTTGTCAGGCTTTAATTCATATTTAATGAATAAATAATTTTTCATTACATCATTATAAGTTGGTAATTGAGCTACGGGTAACTTCTCTGGTAAACCAAACACAGGACAGGATGTCTTTTGTCGTGTTTTTACTTGCGACATTTGACTGTAATAAAGAGAAATAATAGGTATGAATTCAATCAATTTTGATCTAAATTGCATTAACTATGAGCAGGAAATTGAAAATACTACTTACATGAGTCTTACTTCTTGATTTAAGTCGTTAAAATCAATGCTTTTCACAAGTGTAATAGTATTAAATCGCGCGCGCGGGTGCACTAAAAGGCATTCGAACGACGTTTGACGAGAGTAGTGTATTCACCTCCCCCGTGCCCCACAACCCCCCGCTCCTCACCGCACACATTTCAAGGTCAAAATTGAATGTCTTGTACCAACAGGGTGACACTCTCAATATGACTTAGCGTTAATTAGACATTCGTGTGTTTTGACAAAATTTCGTGAATTTCTCTAAAGTTCATGATGTTGGGGGCACCTCCAAATATATCATATGTCAACCAAAATTTTGTGAGAATATTTGTAAGCTATAAGAGCAACTTTTTACAGGTATTACAAAACAATTACGAAAAAAAAATTTTTCGCTCCACCCTAATGTGTAATATTACGTAAATATAAGAAATCATCACAGAACTTCATTTATGAAATTTTGCAGTCTAGTTAAACGTAAAAATCATATCTGCATTTACTTAATGATGCCAATCAGTATTAAATATGACCAAAGATATGAATCAAATATCGCAAATAAACATCAACGACGGACTTCAAGCTTCATACAATATCTCTTTGTTAATTGCTCAAATAGGTAAACCCCACACCATCGGAGAAACGTTAAGTTTGCCGGCAATAAAATAAGTTATAACTACTGTGCTCCATAAACCGACGGCAAACCCCATTTTCCTTTGAGCAATAGTTCTATGCAAACACGGATTGATGAAATGGCTGAAAACATTGAAGAGTCATTGTGCAATCATCTAAAGACTAGTCAATTTTCTGACCACGAACAAATTCAAAAATGGCTTACAAGAATTTTGGCTACAAAAGTTAATCTCGCAGTTGTACTCTAGATTGTAGTCGATCGTTCAACGATTTTTGATCGATTTTTTGATGGTCATCGCCGTATTTGTGTGAACGTGAACCCGAACGCTCGATAAGGATACATATGTGACTAATACAACCGCGCGCCGCCCGCTCGACAAGGATACACATTCGCCTACTAAGAATTTATGAGGGCGAACCCGACAAAAAAAAGTTTGTCATTAAAAATTATAATAAAGATATACTGAAATATATAATACAGACATAGACAAAGACATACTCTTTAATTTGGTACTATAATCTGTCAATGTCACATAAAAATAAACAATAAAAACACATTCTGACGTCACAAGTCTTTACACCAGTAGGGGGTGGGTGTGCGTGAGCTATTGCTGAGTAATTTCTCCGTTTTCCTGAGTGTTTTTGAAATAAAAAGCTGAGTTTTATACTTTTGTGTATTCCTTGTTTGATAAACAACTTGACAAACACGTAGATATATAATTTGTGGCATAAAAAGTGAAAAGTAAGTGCCAAAAGTACTTTGAAATCGAGAAGGCCCATTTTAGCGGTTTGGTCAAAAATGTGTTATTTTACCAATTTTCATTTATTTTTAGTGTAAAATGTAACTAAAAAATAGTTTTATAACATATTTCAAATAGACGTTGTATTTATTTCAAATTCACACAAAAATACTTTAATATTTATTCGAAATTTCTTACAGCTAAAAATAAATTTTTTTTTAATTTTGGTATGAGTAACGAATAGAAACACATAAAACATAAGAATATACATATTTCCAAACATTTTCATATAGATTTTTCCAAAAAAAGTGTAGATTTCAAATTAGTACTAATTTAATGACTAAAAGTGAAGTACTACTGTTACGAGCTTAGGGTTCATGACAATAAAAATTGCCGATTGAATTACTGAAATTAACACTTTAATTCACTTTACACTAATTTAACTTAAAACACTAATAATTAATCACACTGACTCACTTTATTCCGTTCCGAAGCTTCGCTTGTCTCGCCAAATTCAATACTTCCCCGATCGCGTATTGCAGCGCATTTATATAGGGCTCTTCCGCGAAAACATCCAGAATATTTCAGAATATTCGAGTAATTACGCGCGCCAACCGACCAAGCGCAGAAAGTTCGAGTGTGGGGCTTCCAGAAATCTTTAGTTCTTCAATTCGATACTAGATGGCGCTGTCGTTTGAAAGATTAGTGATGTCATTTTCTGGAAAGCTCTCTCTTCGCTCTGTTACCCGACACTAGATGGCGCTATTGTCAGATGTCAACTTAGCTGCGCAACACTGCCCCCTCCTAAGACATGCGCGTCCCGAGCATTATCGGCCCCATAATAACGCGCCAGGCGCTCCACATGGACGATCTTAGGAGTCTCTCTTGCGCCTTTCTGTATCCGGTAGGTTACATCGTTGATCCTGGTCACAATCCGGTACGGGCCGTCCCATTTAGCTTGAAACTTAGGAGATTTCCCTTTGCTGCGGACTGGATTGTGCAGCCACACAAGTGAACCTTCGTCGAAGCCATTGTTCATTTTGCGGTCGTACCGGGTTTTCATCTTCTCAGACATTTGCTGGCCCGATTGTCTGACGTGCTCATAAATGTCATTCATTTTGTTCCGCAAGTCATTTGCATAATCGGTTATACTGCGTGGAGCATCAGGTGGTATCCCGGTGATCAGGTCTGCAGGCAGCCGTAATTCTCTTCCAAAGTTTGCGAAAGCTGGTGTCACTGCTGTACTTTCGTGAACAGCGCTTCGATATGACAACAAAAACGGTTGTATGTGCTTGTCCCAATCTCGTTGCCGATGGTCTACAACTTTTGCTAGGTACCTCTCCAATGTCTGATTAAATCGTTCTACCATTCCATCAGATTCCGCATGATAAGAAGTCGTTCTTGTTTTGTGAATACCCATAACTCGGCAAGTTTTCTGGAATATTTGAGACTCAAAATTCCTTCCTTGATCGCTGTGAATCTCTAAAGGTACTCCAAAACGACTTCATGAACTAGCTTATCCGCAACTGTTGAAGCTTCTTGATTTGGAATGGCGAAGACTTCTGGCCACTTAGTGAAGTAATCCATCACAACCATGAAATACTTGTTACCGTTTTCACTCTCCGGAAACGGTCCCGCAACGTCAATGGCTATTCTCTCCCATGGTGCACCAACATTATACAACTTCAATGCACCTCTACTACGAGTCTGAGGTCCCTTTACAGCCGCACAACTTGTACATTTGCGTCACCAGTCCTCGACATCGTTTCGACAGTGGACCCAGTAAAACCGTTCTCGGATCTTCAGTAGAGTTCGTTTAACTCCCAGATGGCCTCCTGAACAATCATTATGGTACAGCTGTAGAACATCCGGTACTTTAGCTTAAGGGACAACCATTTGCAAATGACAGCTGTCTCCCCGAACATTTTCCCATTTACGACACAGAACTCCACCCCGAAGCAGCAAGCTGTCCCACTGGGCCCAATAGCTTTTAGTGGTCGAGCTCATCGCTGAGACGTCACTCCACTTGGGCTTGGGAGCACTGGCCTTTATCCATTCCAGAATCGGCTTGATGTCCGGATCTTCCTGCTGTGCATGTAGTAAGCTGTCCTTCCACTCGTTGCTGAGGTGGTCTGCCCTGAGCATCCTCACGGATACCACTTTCTTACTCTCTTGCCTATTACAATGTTTGCAATATTCAGGACAAGGGCTCCTTGACAATGCATCTGCGTTGCCATGAGATTTCCCGCTGCGATGTCTGATACTAAAGTCGTATTCCTGCTCCTGCTGGGCGGTGATGTTAGCAGCACTTCCCTTCTGCGATCGTTTACCTTTCCTTTCTAAGGTTCGCTTAGGGCAGCTGGATCTAAGGTGGCCCCTTTCTCCACAGCCATAGCACCTAGGGCTCTATCCTTTATTGTGGTCGCGAACCGTAACTGCCGCAACCTCCCTAGCGTGAGGGGAACGATGATCTTGCCGCACGGATTCCACCTCCAGTGCATGGGCCAAGGCGTCCATAAGCGTCACAGCAGATCTGACTCAGCCACCACGTTGTCAACCCAATTGTTCACTTGGTCGATTCGGGTTTCAGCTTTCTCGATTCTGTTTCAGCTTCGGACAGGCGGTTATTATGCTGAGAAACCCTATCCTTCACCTCGTTTATCTTCTTCGCGAAGTTAGCGTGAAGGTCATTCATGAGGAGCATTTGCTCTTCCAACCGACGGGCCTGTTCATCCTGTCCGCTCTGCAGCTGCTCTTTCAACTGACAGACCTGTTCCACCTGTCGGCGAGCCTGTTCCTCCTGCCGGCGAGCCTGTTCCTCCTGCTGCTCTTTCAACTGACGAACCTGTTCCTCCTGTCGGCGAGCCTGTTCCTCCTGTCGGCGAGCCTGTTCCTCCTGCTGCTCTTTCAACAGACGGGCCTGTTCCTCTCGTCCGCGCTGCAGCTGCTCCTGTAGCATCACTGCTGAAGATGTAGGAGCTACTGACGGGCCCGCAGCCTCCGTGGCTGGCAGTAGGCCCTCCGACGTCTACGGCGATGCACCACCAAATCTCCTCTGATCCGTCTCCTGCTGGCGTTGACTTCGGGTACGGACACCTTCCGATTCCTCCTTCGGTAAAATCGGCATGATTTGATCCCACTTCTAACACCAATTTTTACGAGCTTCGGGTTCGTGACAATAAAAATTGCCGATTGAATTACTGAAATTAACACTTTAATTCACTTTACACAAATTAAACTTAAACACTAATAATTAATCACACTGATTCACTTTATTCCGCTCCGAAGCTTCGCTTGTCTCGCTAAATTCAATACTTCCCCGATCGCGTATTGCAGCACCTTTATATAGGGCTCTTCCGCGAAAACATCCAGAATATTTCAGAATATTCGAGTAATTACGCGCCAACCGACCAAGCGCAGAAAGTTCGAGTGTGGGGCTTCCAGAAAGCTTTAGTTCTTCAATTCGATACTAGATGGTGCTGTCGATTGAAAGATTAGTGATGTCATTTTCTCTCGCTCTGTTACCCGACACTAAACATTAATATATACAAGAAACAGAAAGAGGCCAAGAATTGAGCCCTGAGCCACGCTCATTTGTACAATCGACCAAGAAGAACTGATACTATTAATGTCAACTTTTTACTGTGTTTTAATGTGTTGAAGTTTTCTAATTAATGTTTCATAGTGAACACGATCGAAGACCTTGGATAGGTCACAGAATATACTCAAAGCATTCTGTGAATTCTCCCATGCATTGAAGATATATTTAAACAGATCAACACCAGTAGCAGTTGTCAAGCGACTCCTTGTGGAACCGAAGTCTAGATTATTTTGTTATGAAAGTGATTGATGTTTTTTTACTATGTTACTTCTAAGCTTCTTCAAGCGACGTGCATTTACTGGAACAAACACTACTTTTTTACCTGCTTGCTTTTTGTGTACATAAGGTAACGAAACTAATTAACCACAATGATCAGAACTAAATTTTTTAATTATACATTTATTGAACGCCTTAACATTTCTAAAAATATTATCTATACATATTGCACTAGATTCAGCAATGCGCGTTGGCTCCATATAAAAAAAATAAAAAGATTTAAATTTAATATTGGTGGAGGAAGCTTCTAGGAGATTGATTTAATATCAAGTCTCCACATATTACAACTGATTTATTCCGTTTATTAAGCTTAGCTGAAACTTCCTCCAAAATATTTTCAAAAGTATTTATAACATTGTAATGGCGCCATTTACTTAATTCATAGGCGAAGGTATTTTATAGAATGAAAATTGATTGAGTCTCAAGGTGGTGCGTACAGAATACGCTAGATAGCAAAATACGGCTATCAGCTAATTTAATATTAATCGGTTAAGAAATCAATCGAGGATTATTTGGAATGGACTGGATAATTTTATTAATTTTATTTATTTAATAAATTTGTTAATTTTTTAACTGTTTATTTTGACAGTTAAAAGATATACTTAATATCTTTAGTATTAATGTCATACCTAGTCTCTCTACCTTCAGTTTTAGAATATTCATTTTTGGTCCGATAAACGCAGAAAGAGCTTAAAGTATTTTGTAGTCTTGCAATGCTATGCTTGGGTTTGTATAAAATTTTAGTAATTACAGAATCCCAAGCAGATGCCATCACCCATCCATCTTCTATATTAAAATTAAAAAGTCTAAATTAAACGCGATGAAATCCGTAAAATTAATTTAATTTAAACTTATCACTAATTAGTCAACACTATTTGTATATATACAGTCCGTGAGGATAAAAAATGGGATTAGAAATGGCGACCCACCAAAACTATACAGTTCCAATAGCGTAAACCCGCTAATAACGCTATATGGTTATATTATTCGGTTAATTGAAAACTTTCTCTCCATACTTTATTTAAAACACCGAAACAATAGTCACTACAAAAATTCTTTACTTCATCATCATCATAGTCATTAAAAGACCATTTCTAAACACAAGCTTCTTGCAAGGAATGCCATTAAGCGCGTTCCTTGACCACCTGCATTCATCGACTATTATTTATAGACCCTACCTATGCAAAGTCTGGGTAGGTGGCTAGTATTAATTAAATTAATTTGGATTATTCACCCATTTATATAAAAAAAATCTTTATTTGTAGCTACCAAATAATTTCAATGATTGTATTAGTTTTATACACATCTTGTGATAGCGGTCGCATAAAATTGTTGATGTACTTTTATTATATTCACAAGATATGAAATATGTAAATAATAAGCTGACTTCAAAAAATAGAGGAAGTTAACAGTTCCACTTTATGTTTTTTGTACGCATATTACGAGATATCTTCACTAATTTTCAACTGATTTTGATAATTCTTTTATTATTAAATAGGCTCTTAATTTATAATGGAAAAAATTTACTCCTGGTGGCAAAATAGGGGATGTTGTTTGTAGTTAAACTATCAACACAAAAGAGTAAAAAAAGAATTTGTAATAAAAACTTCGAACAACAAAAAGAATAAATTAATCTCACATTCTGAAACCGCGGCTATACTTACATACAATATTGTTGCCAGTGCGAAGAACTTGTGGCGGCACTGTCGTCGCGCCACAAGCGACGAGCTATCAAAGTTCCGAAGTAAAAACAGTATATTTAGAATAGCTCCGAGCTATCACACCAATTCCGTTTGCGCATCGCTCTCGAGCGGTCGTGTAAACAGTTTGTGCTACCGTCCCCGAACGGCAGTGCCCGTCTCGCTCGCGCGCGTCTCTGCTATCCTGCTCAAACCGCCTGATCTGTCGCCGTCAGTGAATCACTTGCTTTTTCGCACCATTATTTTCCCCTAACTTCGAGGGGAGGTGTGAGCGCGCTTTGTTGCTTGTTATTGTTATTGTTTTATTGTTGTTTTTCTGTTATTGTTTTTTTTGTTATAATTGCTACTGTTATATTTATCCGTGTAGTTGTTTCTGGAATAACGTCCCTTGTTCTTTCTTTTGAGAACAAGAACTTCTTCTTTCCAGAACAAGGACCCCTGTTTCTTGAAAATAATCGTCAGCCCCCCCCCCCCTGTCCAGGCAAAATATCCACCATGAACCTCAGCCAAGTTACGGCCCTTATCTCCCAGTTCTGTAAAATTTACGAGACCATTCTCGCCAAAGCACTAGCCCCCTTGCCCCTAAGGCATGTGCCTTGCGTCGTGGATTCTTTGGCGATCCAAAGAGCTGCCCCGCAGACCGACTCGTCCGTGTCTCTCGACTCCAACATGGAGTGCTCGGACACCACGTCCGTTTGTTCATCATTCCGAAAGAGGACTAACCAATCCCTCCTACCACCTCTTCTAGCTGCTCCTCTGACTCATCAGACTCGACGGAACAGTTCTGAATACAACCCCCTTCACGGAAGTGAAGTACAAGCGCGGCCTGAAACGCGTTGCGACTTCTTCACACGTTCCCACATTTTGGTCCCACGATTAGCTATTGAAAATATTGGGAACCCCCAACAGGGGCTCTGTTGGGGGCTCCCCAATGCCGAGAAAAGTAGAAATAGAAACAGATGTTTTTTTATTGTATTTTAATGTTGATTATAATCAATATTTCTTGAAAATCACTTTTTTTATTTACCAGAACAAAGATACTACCCGGATACTACTTAGTTGCAAACGGTACCTGAGAGCAGGTAGGCACCGTTTGCGACTGGACTCCCCTCCAGCTATTCTTCCATGAGCACGTTACGCTTAACACATTGGATTGGGTTAGGATAGGAAAAAAGGGGGTGGGATAAGAATAAAAGAAAAAGAGTATCGTCTAAGTGTTTCTGTTCCGTCTGTTTCCTATTGAACCAGACCAAAATAACAGGTGGCAACCACGTGAAGGAAGAACTCTTCAGACTTATCCTGGGGATCGATACAACCAGCGCTCTCCCCCAGAGCCATTCTCCAAACTGCTCGCCGGACAGCAGAGCAGAATAGTTGTTAATCTAGTCATACTACTAATGTTAAAAATGTAAGCATTAGGAGTAGATTAACCCCCTGCCCTTAACTTACCTTATTTTAAGCATAAAGTTCATATTATTAAATAATATATCATGAAAGAAAAAGCTTAATAAATATGTTAGATTTTGACGTGTTAAATGTATACACAATACAAAGCAATACCCTTTATTGTATACAAACAAACATAAATATAACAAATAATGAACAAACAATGAGGGAAAAACAAAAGAGGGTCTTATTGCTACATAGCAGTCTCTTCCAGACAACTCAGAAGAGGAAATGAATAAAAATAAGATTAACGGGTAGGGTGCACTAAATTAAAAAATACAAACTTATACACTAACAGCCCTATTAATAAACACAGAATTGAGCAAGATTAACTTTACTCCTAGTTTAAAGCTTAAAATATCTAATTTCAGTATTAATAAACATAGAGTAAGGAGGGAGTAAACTAATCCGAATCTACTCTCGGAATAAAAGTTAATCTTTGGCGGTACCTAGTTTAACGACTGAGTAAGCATAGACTAGTCGCGTATTTTGACATTTTGTAAAACTTTACGTACGTTTACACGCGTTGGTACCCGTGTTAATTTCATAAGTTGTAAGCACTAGTAAGAAAAACAGCGTAATGGATTAAAATGACAAGAAGTGATGTGGATCAGAACAAAGTGATTGCAGGTTTTTATTCATTATATGGATTTAGACAAGTGATTAGGGCTATTGATTGCTACATATTCTAATCCCGAAAGTCGCTGGAAACATCGAACAATATTACATAAACAGGAAAGGATACAGTTCAATAAATGTACAAGTAAGTTTTATAGCACCTAGCTAGCCCATCTTTGCCGTATAGGTACTTAGTTATTTTCTTAGATTCAACACAATCATCTCAATCTATTATTTCATATTAAAGAAGTTATGAGTGCTTTGTTCCAGGTTGTGTCAAATGCAAATTTAGAGTTCATGGATACAGTGGCACATTGGCAAGGCAGCACACATGACTCAAGAATATTTAAAGAAAGTCGCATTAAAACAAACGTTTGAGCAGTCAGAATTTAAAGGCAGACTTCTCGGAGATTCTGGTTGTGCTTGTACTCCTTATTTATTCGCTTCTCTCCTGCGTCCTAATAAACAAAAGGAAGAATGTACAACCGGTCGCACATCTGGTGGCCCCGTTACACTGTAGAACAATGCTTTGGAGGGAAGCAAAGTTTTCGGTGATTACTGCGAGGACTAAATACTAAATAAGAGCATACAAATCTATATACATTGCAATGCAAAAGCAAGATCTGCTTGAGGATGTAGTATAAGGAGATGATAAAAATATATCAGTCACACAATTAGTAAATAACTCCGTTAGAGGAAATTCTGTTCGGGCAGCATTTATTAACGATTTTTTTTTAAATAAATATACAATAATTACATGTACAAAAGATTTTATTTATCCCCAAAAAAACAAAACAAAAATGGTTATTTTATTAATTTTGCCCTTCACGCTCTTTTGTTAATTCTAAAATTTCGTTACAAATAATATTAAAAATGATTATATTTAGAACTTAGTTTTTCCACCGAGTCCGAAAACAACACGGGGAATAAGGAACAACACGTAACACTTATCTCTTGTCAAACTCAAAATATTGCCTGTCACTGTCATTAATGTCAAAATCATTTACTGACTCACTCTTTTTACTTTTAAAATAAGTGGGTTGCGCTCACTGACCTCTATATATACAAGTACGCTGGACTGGCTATACCATACAAAATGACTGTGCCAATTTGAAGCGCCGCTAAAGGATGTCTTGAAAAATAAAATTGACATAATATGCCAAAGTCTGTTGTCTTATTTATATTGTCATATTTAAAAAATCTGTTTTTTGAAGTTTTAAAATAAAAAACGAAAGTATTTTATGTTGTTTGATTGTGTATAATATTAGTTACATAATAAGAATTATTTTTATTAATAATGAGAGTGTGCGTAATTTGTAAAACTCGTTACCAAAAGGGAAGTGGTGTAACAATTCACAAGTAAGTGAATTTGCAGCAAATATTAAATAAATAAAAACTATTTGATAATATAAGTACTTAAAAATTTGTTACTAATCTTAATATCATTTATACCAACATGTTTGGCTGTATATTACTGAGTTTTGATAAACAATAAAATTCAATAGGGTTGTCGAGTTCCTTGTCTATAATACTTATCGATGTTCTTTCCTACCAATATCTGTTAATAAACAAAGTCGCCAACAACAGATGATTATCAAATGTTTATTAATTAACAGGTTTCCAACTGAACCTAGACTCAAATTATGGTTTAAAAGCATAAATATTGTGAATTGGCGTCCGAAACAAAATGATCATATTTGTTCCAAACATTTCACAGACGACTGCTTTATTAGACATGAGAACTGCACCACTTTGAAAAAGTGCAGTATACCGACAATATTTTATGGTAGTACCAGTACCAGTAAGTATAAAAGTACTAGATTATTATTTAGAATGTTTTTTATTTCTTCTTTCCTAATTTTCCACCAAACTCAAGGGCCATAGCCAAGTGTGGAAAGGTCGCCTGATGATGTCGAGCCACGTTGGATGTGTGTTAGTGGGCTGCGGCAAGAGGAGATTCCTCTCCCTGTACCGCTGTAGTCGAGGTGGAGTAGTAAGGAAAGAGGAGTGTTGGTATGGCAATTGGCGATGCGCCACTCGACTATCTTTCGCGACTTTGGTGAGACTGCACCACTTGATGCTTCCAAGTGCTCGTTTTTCCCTGGCTCCATTCACATATCGGGCTCGGGGAGTCCGTAGTGCAGGTGGAGTTAGAGGCCGCGAAGGGCAGTATGGCTTGTGTTTCTGGTGCGCTTTATCTGAGAATGAAATCGGGGAGGAGAAGTCAGCAACTAAGGAGGGGCTGTCATTGGGCGGCTGGCGCCAGAGGGGCCGCGGATGTGCATAAAAGCGTTTCCGTGGCCCTGCCAATTTGCGGTGGAGGTAGAACACCATGGGGTTTTAGTAATAGCGATCTAAAGATTTAATTTTCTCTCAATTGCAGGCATGTAATAGTATAAGTAAATATTTGTGCTATTTGCTGTAGAGATTATTGGTCCGTAGGGTGCACGTGCGGTGTAATTCCTAAAAAACTGTATCTGCGACGAATCATATCTGCTGGTAATAAGAAGTTGTTTAGTTTGTTGCTTCCTCGCTTGAAGGCTAAGTATAGCCATTCAGATATGACACGTAGCCAGCATTCTTGGGGCAATACCATGGAAAGTAGGACTGTATAATAATTTCAGTAATTTTTTTAATATTGTAATTTTAATTTCGAAAATGACGCTGTAAATAACTGATAACTATGTAATTCAAAGTTTATATATATATTTTTAATATTATCTAGCTCGTACCCGGCGCATTGCTGCCGCAGAAGAAATAATTGTGAAAATATCGTTAAAAATGTGGAAGAGTTGTATTGTATAATTAGGAATGATAATTCAATCATTGAAATAGAATGATATATAACTTTCTATAACTTTCAAATAAATAGTCACGCCACCTAGTGTCAGTTAATTGTACCATGCGTATAACCTTCGCACAAGTGCAACCAATAGGTTGACTAAGTTTTACCGCAATCTGATGAACGGTATGGCATCGTATAAAGTACGAACACGACAAATAGTCCGACTAGGTAAGTTCAACTTCGACCGAAAGGTCAATCGACGGATTCAACTCAGCTGGGCAGCTTTCGGGAGATTACAACACATCTTCTCGTCAGGAATACCTCAAAACTAGATTGTACAACAAGTCCGTGTAGCCAGTGATGACTTATGGATCTGAGACGAGGTCTTTCACTGCTGGCCGTATGAGGAAGCTTGAAGTCGCTCAGCGAGCTATGAAGAAGGCTATGCTCAGGGGTTTAAACTTAGATATGAGGATATCTGCAGCAGAACCAGAGTGATCGACATCGACCAATGGATTAGTAAGCTGAAGTGGCAATTGACCGGCCATATAGCTCGAAGAACCGAATACCGATGGGGAAAAAGGAAAAAAGGGAGTGGCAGCCTCGTACCGGCAGGTGAAGTGTAGGACGTTCCCCACTAGATGGAGTCAAAACTAAGTGAGTAACTCAGGACCGTGCTTTGTGGCATTCCTTGGGGGAGGCTTATGTTCAGCAGTGGACTTGTGAAGGGTTTTAATGATGATGAATGATAATTGCATTATATTAATATAAATAGAATGGACGTTACGGGTAGAGTCCATCTATCCATAGAATCCATTCTATTTATTTTGGTATAGGTAGGATATAGAATTTTTATCGATATAATTTAGTACACTGTCTTATCCCTATTATTAGTTCCGTGGACGTGCACTTCTGCTGTCAGCGCCAAAATGGTGGAAATCAAATCGCTTCATCATGTCACGGTGTATAGCCAGTCCAGCGTACTTGTATATATAGAGGTCAGTGGTTGCGCTATATAGCGCAAGCGTTAATCCCGGCGTAAGGAATGTATAGTTAGTCCGAGGTTACTCCATGCTTATTAATAACATTGTAATAACGAAGTAAATAGTCAGTTACTCTGAGATTAGCTAGTCCAAGTTTAACTTCGAATTAAGCTTGGAATAAGCAATTTTTATTAATAAGGCAGTAAAATGACAACATATTTAGGTAGATTAATGACCATAACTAAAAGGAGGAATAGAGAGGAGTTAAAGAGACAAATAGTGTTCCTTAATCTGTTTCTAGAACACATTTAATGATTGAGTGCTTTTAGTTGACTGGGATAAGGAGTTCCAGAGTCTTACTCCATGAACAGCAAAAGATTTATCATATTATATGGATCGTAAGGAAAAGTCATGACAAGAGCGAAGAAATTTAAAACGCTCTTTTAGATAGGGAGGACTTGATACATTAAATAAGACGAAGTAGAGCGTAGAAAGTATATGAGTATTCCGACGAAGACGGATTGGGAGCCACTTGAGTTTAGTGCGGTATTCCAAGACATGGTCATATTTACGAAGCTCAAATATGAACGGTATTCAGAGATTTTGGAGCCGCTCAAGTTTGTTAGGTTGC